GCGATTCGCGCGTCCCCCAATCAATCTTTTTGGACACAGATCAGCTTGATCACGCATATGGCTACGGGTCCGATCGGTTCGACACAACGTTGGTCCCTGGGTGCCTTGTTTCTCAGGGCGGCCTCGTGGCTCGGCTGCTGATGTCGTGCAGCATAAGGCAGATGGCATGCGCAATGTAAACGGARCTACAGATCTAAACACTCTTGCATTCTCGAACAAAATCCCGATGACAATCGTCTAATCAACAAAAGAGTCACACAGTCCATACATGCATTCACTGTGGAAGGTGCGAAAATGAGACATGCACAGGAAAAAATGGATCGCATTACTCAGTACACACSCATCCACCGTTCACAAGACAAGAAGACAGGGTCCTTGCGTAGGAGGATTACCCAGGAAACTAATGGAACAKTTCCGGAAGAAGTTCTTTCACACAGAATACCGACTCATTTCCATTCAAGAGCGGGACAATCATTCAGACGCATCATCATTCGAGAGGAGAGAGAGAGAGAGAGAGAGAGAGTCAAAATAGAAGACGACAAGGTCCGGAAAGAGAAAAGTTTGGCGTCACCGCCGCACACTCACGCCAAAGATAACAATCCGCAACAAAGGCGCATTCGCCGTTAATTCCACTATGGCCCCGGGCCAATCACTCACTCAACTCTAATCATCGAGCCTCATACCCGCACCGACGATCCCGGCCGTCGCGTGCTAACTCCCACCACTGCGATCGTCACCCCGCTGTCGTAAACTCGATACGGTTCGCCCGGATCCCACAGTCCGTCGTGGCGATCAAGCACGCAACCGGCCAGCCTATCGTCAACCCGACAGGACTTTCCGACTCGCATCAATCCACTCTTCCTAGCCACTGCTTCCCGAAAGTTGGCTTAGGAGTCGAGAACGTAAGAGAGCTTTGCGGACGCGCTTGCGGGTTTTATAGTTGCGACAGGGGAGATAGAAGGGGGAGAAGGCGACAGGAAAGCTGAGGTGTAAGAGGAGAAGCAGGAGGAGAAGACTTTGAGAAGAGTGCTCTACGAACGCCATGCTGATCCCTTGGAACTCAAGGTTCAACCAATCAGATTCGTCGCGCGATAGGAAGGTCCTATCGGTCCACGCACCTGATTGGCGAGCGGGAGTTATCGGGGGATCGACCGGGCGTTGTATGCCAGACGTAGAGGGTGAGAAGAGAAAAGGCGCGAGARGTGGCGCAAGACGGGTCCAAGATTCAGATGATCAAGAAAGGGAAATGGGCGTGCGAAAGCAAGGCGGGAGAGAGAGAGAGGGAGAAGGAAAAACAGTTACGGGGAGAGAAAAAGGAGGGAGAAGGGAAGGGAGGCGCGGGAGGGAGCGATGCGGGGGACAAAGAGGAGGAAACTTTTGCATGCACGGCGCCGTCAACAAAAAAAGAAAAAGGCACCGAAACAGTTACAGCTTGCTTCTATCCTAATTCAAAATTGAAATTACCATATCCGCGCGCGAAAAAGTGACGSRGGAAATGAAAATCCTACGCCTATTCGTATTCACGCAAAATTCCGAGAGTTTTCCCCGACGCGCCCAAGAACATTCACACACCCAAAAAGGACACGTCGAAGTTCCGCTTATCCCGGAATTCCCAACTACCGAGCCCAATTCCTAGTGCGCTCGCTAAGGGGCACGTAAATTCCCATGTATGTCCCGACTTTGCAAGAAGAAAAACAAAACTCAGTAGTCGAAAAAGCTCTCAAAAAGGAAAATGCGGCACCCGAAAGCAAGAACTCAAAACGGGGTTTTCCTGGGGTTGGTATGATACAAGCAAAAGAAAGGGTACGAAAAATGGCACAGGGTCGGGAAGTGGTTCGTCACATATACGTGTTGAAGGTTAGGACGGATGTTAGTGACTCCAGGTGGCTAAAGGGATCGGTCTAGGGCATAGCAGCAAGGGAGATGGAGACTCTTCGTTGTTACGTCCAGCAGGAGTGTGGTTTGTAGAGTGGCCTTTTGGAGGAGATGGGAGGTTGGTATCACATCCCGACGAATGGTGGTCGAAGGGATTGTGCTAGCCTGCTAGGGCATATCAGCAAATGGCTCCATCATTGTTTGTGTTGCCGGAATGGGGCTTATTGGCATGTGTTCTTGGTGGGGTGGAACAATTGACTGTTTAGCATAGCATTGCCAGTCATATTTCATGGCAGTGGGGTTTGTTGGCTTCTGTTCTCATGTGTTCCAAGTTCCAGTGGACCACTTTACGAGTCATATTCTCGACAGTGGAGCTCGACCCTTTGCCAACTGTCTCAGCTGTTAAACATTTCTCAGCTATTTTTTGCCAACGCTCTGGGGGCTCAGCCTACCGGAAGAAAAAGGCTGGAGTCACCAAGTAAATCTCCCGCTGCACCGGATTGGCAGGAATTCACGTAGCAAAATCTGCGTCGAAAAAAGGAGGCTCGGACAGACTGGTGGTTTCAGCACACACTTCGAGTGCAAAGCACGGGTATTGGGGGTCCGATTCCCGTAATCCACTCCCAGAACCTCTCAGCTCTTTTGTTGCAATGCGACCGTACACAGGATGCTGTGACACATTGTGTTTTTAAGCTGTGCACTATCATCGTTTTTTTTCAGCTGTGCACTATCCTCTGTGCCCCTCTTTTTGGTTTCATTTTTTGCAAACAGGGGTGCACATTAATCTGTGCAGTTGTGCTCTGTGAGTGCTCGACTTTTTGTGGATTGTGTGAATACCCTTCTTTTGATAGGATTAGTTGCCAATTCACGATAGAATCTTGGCTTTCTCGCATGTTGGTTTCATGTGCCTCGGTGAGCACGCCTAATTTGGACTTCGGTTGGGTGCTTCAGAATTTAGGCACTGTCCTTCTCCTTCGGCAACGGTTTGCTTGATGGCTCCCGCCACCTTTTAATTCTCCTCTTTCTTGGCGTCCTCGTGCAAAACCTTCAGTACCCAACTTCCTTTCCTGTGCCTTCTTCCGACAACTCTAACTGCCTTCCTCCCTCTCCCCAACTCCCTCTTTCAGAGTCTTTCTTGAAACCTTCGACGATCCTTTCGCGCCATCTTTACCCTGCATCTTGCTGGACTCTTCCTTCTTGCCTTTATTCTTCAAAATCTTGGGACGTCACGATGACCGTACAGATCGGATTGTGGTGTGGAGCGTGGCCATGCCTCCCACATCTCAGTTCGGTCATGTACTGCATCCTCGTCGGTCCCCGTTCTCCCCTCCCTTCCCGCTCTCCTCCTCCTTAAGTCCCTTCTTCGCATGCACGCAAGCTTCTCCCCCCGTGCAACTATGAATCTCGCAGGCGCAACTATCTCTCTCTCTC